GAACCCTCTATCGAGGAAATCATGATAGGAAACACAAGAACTGGAATATCGTATCAACTGGGAGATATATACTCCGAATGCAGGAGCTGCTGGAATGTTGCTACATAGAAATGGAAAGTTCACAATTGGGAAGCTGAAATTATCTCATTTGCCGCAAAGTTTTGTTTTCAACCGACCCTCATTTTCAATTTCAAGATGTAAGTCAAGATATGAGACAGACTTAACTGTATCTGTTGTATCCTTTATCTCAAGTTCGATGGGATAGATGCGTTCAACATAGTTACAAAATTTTGAATTATGTAGTGAGAAAACATCATCTATATAGATGAAAGTGAAGTTAAAGGATACTGCTAACTTCTTTTCTTTCTTCCTTAGAAGTTCCTGTATGAAGACAGCCTCATATGAATAAAGGAACAAGTCGGCAAGAAGAGGAGCACAGTTGGTTTCCATGGAAATGCCGATTGTTTGTTGAAAAACATGTCCTCAAAACGTAACAAATGTGTTGTCAATCAAGAAATCAAGCATCTTGATAATGTCAGTTTCAGAGAATTCTTTGTTTGAATCAGAATGATTTTTTACAAAGTACGATTGATCACTCCCTTAGACAAGAACTTGTATCTACGTAAGCCATTCTTTTTTATGAAACAAAGCATGACCAACTCTTTCAATTTGTCTTTTAGTTGAAATGGGGAAGAATATTTATAATTAATTATTGTGATCGAGTTTATATTAAGATGCCTGTGTCTACAACGTATAGAAAATCCTGTACATACCATATAGAACTTAAATAAATGTGAGTGTTTATTTATTTTTACAGCATGTTTAATTTTGTCCACATACAAGAACAAGATGGAAATAACAGTTAATGATTTCGGTGCATTCGTTTGAAGCGCTTTTCTTGATTAACCTCCATCACAACAAGTTTAATAGTTTCTAATGAAAAAATAGGTTTACAATTTAGTTTTAAGAAAATACAACTTAGGTTTAAATGTATTAGTGATAGGTAAAAAATACAGCACACATATGAACCAAACAAAGAATTTCTAATACAACAAAAACAATATTTTAGTCCAATTTTCTGTACTTTTTCTAAGTAATTGAATATGACCGCCGTTGAAGCAGTGTACACTTCGTTTTGGTGTCGTTGTGTATCTTAATTGGTGTGAATGATTGTTTTGGTCATGAATAAAACCATATACCTTCTTTTTCAATGTGGAATACCTTAAAAAAAAAGAATATGAATGACTTTTCATGTAACGCCAGTTATATATAGATGTCCTAAAGGTTATTTGGTTCCATTATTGCTTCAAACTATTTTTTTTCAAGTTCTAAATATTGAGCATGGCCATTATAAACATTTTTTCGTCTCTTCTTGTTTTATTTGAATGCTTCGTCAATCGTTCTCAGTTTTTTGCGCTTATATCAAATTTAATATGAAATCATTTTTAATCCACAGGAATGTCTATATAGAGTTAATTCATTTACATGAAAGAATATGGAACTAACTTGTTTTTCTCCTATGATTTTAATAAGCCATGGAGATCACAGTTTAACATATTTATATAATACCTGAACAGAAATGATTTGCATACAGGTTGAATCTGAACTAATGTTATCGTAACTCCTTTTATCAAGTAAAGTTCGTACAAAATGTCCTCAAAATCTCAAATCTTTTAGGTTTGGAATTATATCAAAACAGGATATTAAAGAAATCGTTAGGGTATACAATAAAAGGTCATTAATAAAAACACAAATGCATACACTTACCTTATCAAAAGCAGATCTCTGTATCCCTTTGTTAAGAATACTAATAAAATGACAAATAGGTTAAACAACAAAAAATGTAACTCCATGATTATTCCTAGAAATTGGAAATGACGAAAATAGAACAGTGAATTGATTAGTGGGAAAATGTCACGTGACCACACCTTAAAGTCCCAACCGAAAATGCACTTTTTCAAGCAACCCATTAATTAAAAATAAATCAAAAATATTTAAACCAAGCTTAATACGAATATGCATAAATGATGCAATAATTGAAAAAAAATGTGTTTATAGAGTTTGATTGAAATTATGCTGTGAGAAAAGAAAACATGTTTCAGTATATCATCACCGTTATCGTATATATTGTAGTTTTGATGGCACCTTTTCCAGTCTTATTGCTGTTGGTGGACTGTTAGTCCGAGGGTATTATCAGCACAGTAATAAGTACTTTGATAACACTTTTTTTTTTCATTAAATTCTCCGTTGATAAATTAAGAATCTTTTTGGAATAACTAGGTTCCAACTCAGGCAAAGGTTTTATATCCCCTTTTGGTGAAATGGCTCCTCGCGTTTTCAGGTATTTAAACATTTTTGGCTTTACAATTTTTGGGTTTGAGCTTCACTGATAAGTAAATCAAGAAAAGCGCTTCGGACTCATCAATTTATACATGTAAAGTGTTTCTTTCTTTTTTTCATTTACTTAAGAGCAATTTAATTTCATAAAGAAAATATCTTTCAGATAAATCATTATTTAAAGTTTATTTAAAGTTACACTTTGAAACAAAAGGATTGAATGTGTGTATCAACTAGAGCGTGTAGAAAATCTAAGTCGTGCCATAGACCTCACATACATGAGTGTATTCTTTAACTTTATAGCATTAAGTTTTATTTGATTTTGTCTATGAAATAAACAAACCAAAAGAGCAGTAACACATCTAGTGGATTATTTTTGCCCTGTAAATGTCGTATAAGAACACTGAACCTCAGCATTTATAAGAGTGCCCACGCTAAAACGTATCGCCTGCTTTACTGACCATGATTGATTTAATCTCTAGTCATAAAGATATAGGTTTTACAACAAGTATCACATAAACTTAACATTATCGATGATCCATGACAATAAGGTCAAGGTCAGATAAACCCTGCCTAACAGACATGTAGACCTTAAAATCATTCCGTACACCAAATATAGTAAACCTTTTGCTTCTAGCATATAAAATGAAATGCTCCGCAGGGCGCAGCTTGATACCACCGCAGAGGTCAAACCCTGAACAGTTGGGGCAAGTATGGATAGAACATTAAAGTTTGATACAGCTTTGAATTTCAATTGTGATTAAATGTTTGACACAGCATAGGTTTCTGACACAGAATGAATGTGGTCTAGGAACTTGAAAATTTGAAATTGGACATTTATCTATTATGGTCCAATATCCAAAGAACCCCAAAGAATTGAAGTTTTATTTTGGACCCTGATTTGGACCAACTTGAAAACTGGACCCTGAATCAAAAATCTACATACATGTTTAGATACAGCATATCAAAGATCCGCAAAAATCCGATTTTGGTAAAAATCAATCGAAGTTTAATTTTGGACCTTTTAGACCTTTGTGTGGACAAATTTGAAAATCGGCCCCAAAATCAAAAATCTAGATACCCGGTTAGTTTCAGCATATGAAAGAACCACAATAATTCAATATTGATGAAATCAAACAAAGTTTAATTTTGGACCTTTGGACCTCAATGTGGACCGATTTAAAATCGAAAATCTACATACACGGTTAGTATATTACAGAACCCCAAGAATTAAAGAATTTGAATTAAACCACATTGAAATTGGTCAAGAAATAAGCAATTTATACAAAGTTTTAGAAAGTATTGTTTCTGGCCCCTAATTCCAACTCAATTATGGCTATAACCCCCAAAATCAATCCCAACCTTCCTTTTGAGGTATGGAACCTTATGGTACAATTTCATAGAGATCCATACACTTATACACAAGTTATTGTCCATAAACCAGAAAATCCTTGTTTTAGACCCTAATTCTTAAACAGTTAGAACAATAGCCCCCCAAATCAATCCCAACCTTCCTTTTATAGTATGGAATCTTATGGTACAATTTCATAAAGATCCATACACTTATACTCAAGTTATTGTCTTGAAACCAAATGTCTTCAGATGACGACGACATCGCTGTGCCATTATACATCTACAAATTTTTGCGGTCGTATAAAAACCAGACAAAACTATGATACTTTAACACTAACCAATGAACCATGACAATGAGAAGCCATATACTGATATATGACCACGGATACAAGTTCAGCTGTAACAGTCAAGTCACAGTCCTAATTTAAGTAAAAGCCATATACTGATGTATGACCACAGCTACTAGTTTAGCTCTTAACAGTGAAGACACAGTAATTATTCTTCATCGGAAGCCATACACTGACATATGACCAAAGATAAATAACAATGCTGTAACAGTCAAATCACAGTAATAATTCTTCATCAGAAGCCCATAAACTAATGTATGACCACATATATTAGTTAGGCTGTAACAGTCAAGACACAATAATAATTCTATATCAGAAGCCATATACTGATGTCAAAAGTAAAATAACAAAAATACCAAACTCCAAGCAAAATTCAAAATGAAAAGTCCTTTATCAAATTGCAAAATCAAAAGCTCAAACACATCAAACGAATGGAAAACAATTGTCATATTCCTGACTTGGTACAGGCATTTCACAATAATAATTCATCTGAAGCCATACATCAATCTATGACCCCAGAAAATAGGCCCAAGAACCCAGTTATTTGGTAGTGCATTTTGTTCAGACAATAAATGCAAAATTGCACTTTCTCAATAATAAATATATATGGTGATGTACTACTTTTGGGACAAATTGAAACAAAATTATAGAAAACTTCATCAACTCTAACTCAAAATATAGACATTCTATGTTACGGGGATTCATGAATTCTGTAAGACAGCTTCAGACAAACTAATTTTTAACCTTTTTCAACTAGACCAAATTACTACTTTTCTTTAAAATTCATGGCCCAATTTTTTTTTAGTGTAACCCCTACTTGCTATAAGAAATAAATTGGGGTATGACAAAAATTTGCAAGTGATACACTGTTCACACTAAGGATTTTATTTGTAGACAACCAAAATTAAAGGACGATCACTGTGTTCCCAGAACAATAGATAAGCTGTGTAAAATGATAACATGTTATATTTGTGACAGACTTTATTCTATGATTTTCCACTTGTTAAAGGAATATATGAACTGAATAAATAATGACAATTAAAATCTAAATCATATGTAAAATATAAATATAAAGAAGTATACACAACTAAACAAGAAAATATACCAAATTTCAACATACAATTGAAAAATATTTGACATTAAAAACATGCAATTTGTCAATTTGTTTTTGAAGTGAAGAGGTACTTTCGAATTACTTTTGATAGACATTAAAAAAAAATTATTTAATACCTTTGTGACTTGGATTTTTAGAATGCATTTTTCCACTATGTTAAGGTCTTTAAAACTATTAGACAAGAACTAATTTGCTTGTAATCTTAAAATTTAACTCATTTTTATTTGAGATAAAAGTAAATGTAAACAAAGTAAGACCAACATAAAATGTTATTTTTTTGCCATTTGAAATTAGTACATTGTAAGATATAACCTTTTATCAGTTTTTCTTTTCTTTTTAAACTGTATCATAATAAAAAAAATTATAAAATGCATAATTAAAGAGGAAAAATATATCACTTTCATTTCAAAACAGCTATGAAAAAAGTACAAAAGGCACATTAATATCAATAAGCTAATGAAATTGTTTGTTTGAAAGAACAACAAATCTATATGGTTTAAAATATAGTAAGAACGGTTAAATTTTGAGCTTATTGATGTGAGAACTTGACTGACTCACTCACAAACTGATGTGGGCAAAATTCTGAGTTTCCACATCAATAAACTTTGTTTTTAAATAACCCTTTCTTTCTTATGATTTCTATAAAATGCACTTAAAACTATGTCAACAATTCAGAACTATTTCTCTTGTGTAAGAATTCATACACATGGCTACATGAAAACAGATTTTAAAATATTTAAATTTTTGGTTGCAATGACAAACACCAATAAAATAAGACTTTACATACAATATTGGAATCATGAGGTTTTAAAGCTAGGTAAATAGACACAATTCTGTCCTAACAACCAATATCATAGCTGCAAATATGAAGCGGGTTAATGGAACAAATGCAGTCACTATCATAATTAATTGAGGAAGGATTATGGCAATACTTGGCTCCCCAGTTTTAATGAGTGTTTTTTTTTCAGATTTCACAATTAGGTATCAATGCTGTGTTTTATAGAAAAATGATAACGCCAATACTACACTCTATGAGAAGATGTGCCCATCAAAAATATTCATGTAAAAATCAATTTCTAAAATATTTTTGTTGGCCATGTATATGGTTCTATTTAATATTGCTAATAATCATTGATAAATCACCGAATTTTGAGCCTTTTATAAATGAAAATTTATGGCAGTTAATTCTCTGAGCCTCTTTCTTTCTTGATATTTGTGTCTGTGGATTAAAACAAGCAACAAATCAAAATGATTTGAAAATGCTGAGACTACATTGGGGGACCAAAGTGGGTTCTTATTTGACCTTAACCTTGTGACAGACAAAATTACCAGTTCAAAATTGACAAAATGATACAACATGCGATTTGAATAAATGTATAAAAGCAATAAAAATTTCACTCAATCGTGAGATAATGATATGCCCTATAAGACTTCACATACTAACCAGAATATCTTATATGATTGTGTTGTGACAATGTTGACCTTTTCAATGACCTATATACAATATTGACTTATAGTACTGTACGCTCCTTACATTTCTTTTTAATTTTGGAAATTTATTTATCATTATCCATGTACAAGTCTGTTACCATGCTTCAACAAAACTAAACAGTACAAAATTTGATGTGAAAATTTTGAACAGAAAACCAAACAATGTAATTAGAACTAAACAAAAAAAAATAAGAAACATGTCTCAGATATCACAGCTTAGAATTTCATATTTAAGTTCCTTCATTTTTTTCCCTTTTTCAATATGAATATTTTCATATCATACTTCTTTCTGATAAATTAAAGGATTGTCATGTATATTATGCATTTGTTCAAATAAATGTCTCTGCAGAATGATTATCAAATTAAATTTATTTCCTTGGTTTCTGATACAACTTTTCCATCATCCTTAAACTGTCAGTTTGTTACCCGAATTATAGTTCAGGGGTTGAAGTGATAATCACGTGATCAAAGTTGGATATTAAAAAAATGACACACTCAAATAATTATGAGCTGTACTAATATGTTCACTTGCACTGTTTTCTTAGTTGATTGGCTCGTTGTTTTTCCAGGATGGCTGAATTCCCTGAATAATGCATTTTAACCATAGAAAAAAATATTTGTGGGTGCAGGGCTTATTTTGAAGGGTTAAAATATTTAAAAGGTGAACTGTATGCATTGTGACCATTATGGCAAAATAAATAGCAAACATAAAATACTGTATTTTTAACATACATGCAAGTGGTGATGTTTGTAAAAAGTTTTCCAAACTATAAAACTACAGCAAATGATAATTTCTTATGAGATAATGTTCAAACATGTAAGTAATTCCTTGTTTGACTTGTCTATCCAGCAGGCAGAGATCGTTTGGCCTGACTAATTGTAACTGAGTTCTGGTAAATCTTCAGAATTAATCACATTATTTTCTAAAGGCTCAAACAATCACAAAATAGAAAGTCAAAAGTCAAGAGATTCACTACATTACACAAAGACAGAATTGTATGTATCATATGAATGACCAGTTAAATGTGTGACACATGTTTTACATTAATATAAAAAGTACACTCATGAACAACACATGTTTAAAAATCTCACATCCTACAAATGATTCTACACAAAATAAACATTGATTATCACAGATTGTATAGCTGAAGCAACATTACCATCTTGTAAAATTTGTAATGAACAAAATCTCAAAAAGTTTATCTTTAGGTTGTATGCAGTTAATGCTTAACTATCCATGTTCAAGATATTAATATTCATCCTTATGACAACTAGCTGCTTTTGTATTGTTTGAAATAAACTTGACAGATCTTTTTATCAATTCTGTTCCTATCAGTTGCTGTACAACATCGAAAGCTGTCTGGGGTTTCAGGAAATAGAAATGTTGACAAGATTCATACATCGTCAATATTATTAGACAAGAAATGGTAAACAAAAGCAGCTCTTTTCATCTCTTCTTCTTTTGCTACACTGCGGACATTTTTGTTAGCTCTAGAGGATGTTGGTACATAATGATGGTCTGGTCTTAGAAACACATCACCAAACAAAGAAGCTGTGAAAATATATAATCAATGTCAGTCATTGAAAACAATGTCAAAGTGATCTTTTTAACCATTTTCTTAGAACTAAATATACACTGAATCATGTAGAAACAGGTATTTTTGTGAAATTGTGTTGTTAGGTTGTTGAATGTTTTCTTGTTGACTTGTCTAACATCTCCTTTCTTTCTTATTAAGATGTTTTTTTTTCTTTGTTTTAAGTATCAAATGATCAAATGGTTATGAATAAATCCAATGAAATCTTCTACAAGTTGTTGGTACGTAAAAGTATAAAAAAATTTCAATTGTAAGAAATTAAGAAATTGTATATATCATAAAACTGACAAATTCAGCAAAATTTGACTGAAAATTCAATAAAACAATTACCAAATTCAACTACCATACATGTATATATGAAGGACTCGGAGGTATGATGGGGACGCTGACGTGCGATGGTCACGCTGAAGTGCGACAGTCTATATTCCGCATGATGGCTAGTTTAAAATCTACAGATGTTCAATTATTAGGCCTATGAGAAGTAGATTTTTTTAAAAGTTAGTAGATAAATTATTGTCTATGTATGTCCCTAGTTACAGTCGGAAATTAAATGTGAGATCATCCCCTTCGATTTTCTGCATGTGAACATAATTCTGCGTTAAAAATTTATCTTTACTTGATTCCTATCAAGAGTTCCGCATTTACCGTAATATTATAAAACAAAGAGTCTGTCTTCGGACCCATGTGTATTGAGAGAAGGCCACGCTCCATCGTATGTAAAAAAGGAACCTTTTGTAGATTTCGAAAAAAAATTGGATACAGAAGGTTCCATCTCCACCAATCACTCCCCGTTTCCCAAAGAATTAAAAGTGTAGAAGCCACTAATTAACTTTAAAATCCTAAAAAACTGCTTCTAACTAACAAATTGATTTCTTCATCGACATGAAAAGCATTGAAAATATAGTTTGTGTAGTCTATCGCACTTTAGCGTTACCACCATCATACTTTGGCGTACCTATCAACAAGATAGCGTCACAATGCCACCATCGCACTTCAGCGTGTTCAAAAACACACTTCAGCATGATCAAAAACACACTTCAGTGTTAACAAAAACACAATTCAGCTTCAAACCATCGCACATCAGCGTGACCATTGCGGTTCAGACTCCTACATATATATTATATATATAAAATTTTATCAAAAGTGACTAAGTTTAGAAAGCCATCATTCAGTTGATAATTTACTGAAAGAAAATCTTGACTATATGCACATTGACAGTACAGCATATACACTCTGTCACATATAATTATTCTACCTTAAACAAATTTTAGGAGTTGAGTAGACAAAAAGTGCACCATATATTCAAAATATATCACATCATTTTGTGAATAGAATTTAATAAATTAAAATCCTGACAATCAGCACACCTTTCAGTACAGGTAAAAGCATTGATTAAGTATAAAGGAAAACAAAATATCTAGCTTAAGAGTGCAGGGGGAATTGGGCAGAACAGGGGTGTACATGATATTCAGATTAACTTCATCATTGTGAATAGTTCATGAAAATCAAAATGTTAACAATATGCATATCATAAGTACTGATACAACTATTCTGAGAAATGGAAACTTTCCACCTTGAAACCTAAGTGGAGAAGTAGAGTGCACGAACATTTTTTACATTGTGAAGACATTTAAAAAGATAGACGTAATACACTCACCAAATACTGGAAAAAACATGGGCATATAAAATGAGAAAACATGACAACTTACCTAGAAATTTAATGTCTAAATTATTGTTTTGTGATTTTGACAGGAGTTCTTTGAGGAATGAACAGAGATATCTAAATACATTTCTATGGTATTCAGGAATTTGCATTATAATCTGAAAAATAAAAGAACATTACAAAGTTTGCTGATCATAATATTTCTTCATCTGCATTCTATACAAATATAAAAAAAACTTAAATGGATTTTTTTAGACAAACATCAGTTAAAAAAAATTCAGATATAACTTCAATTAATTGAACTGTTTTTACTTGACATTAATCAACCAACAATCAGTAAATCAACTGAACTTTCAAATAAGTTCTATATCTCTAAGCTCCAAAAGCATGTCCAATAAATGGGGAATGTGTCCATGGGACACAGATGATGCCCCCACTTGCATATCATATAAAGTTATAAAGGGACATAACTGAAAAACGGTAAAAGTGACGCTACCCAAATTTGTACTTGATCTGAGTTTTGTGGTAATAGGTATTGTGTATAAGTTTCATAACATTTGGTTGAGGCAAACTTAAGAAAGAGAATGGAAACGAAAAATCCAGCAATTTTTCCATTTGTAAAGGGGCATAACTCTAGAATGGTTACAGTGACGCCACTTCATAACATAACTGAAAAACGGTAAAAGTGACGCCACCAAAATTCAAACTTGATCTGCGTTTTGTGGTAATAAGCATTTTGTATAAGTTTCATAACATTCGGTTGAAGCAAACAAAAGTTAGAGAACGGAAACCAACTTTGGGACGTACGGACGAACGTATAGATGGACAAGGGTAAAACTTAATGCCCCCTCCGCATAAAAATAATTTGGATAAAATTGAAACTTGACATCCTAAGAACTGACCCATTGATTTCAGAATAGCTTTGAAATGAAACAATAGCCTAGTTGACCATTTGATCTATGTTCACCTTCGTCTGGTTAAGCCAGTTCAGAGGATAAGGTGAACAAATTAAAAGTGAAACAAAAGTTACATGACTCAATGAGAATTTCTAAAAGGCTCAAACAACCATGTGGCCAGTTAAATCAGGTTATTGTTTATATGCTATCAAACAAAAGTTACGACTGATATACTTTCAAAGCAAAATCTTTAACATCATATAAATTTTTTTTGATATTTCTACAAACAAAATTTCTTTGAGAGATCTTTACAATAAACTATTCATTATATACGAAATAGACTGTGATATGTATTTACCAATCATTGAAGAGATATTTAGTATTTTGACTCACCTGTTTACACAGCAGGTAGTTATTAGAACATTCTAAACATCGCTTGTGTACACTTTTTGGAATGACAGGATCTGGAAGTGATTCTAAAAACAACAATAATCCTTCTGCTATAGAATGGATGCTTCCAGCTAAAACATGTTAAGAAACTATAACATAAGATGTTTTGTGATTGTAAACTTTACATTCTGATCTTGTTGATGATATATATTTTGGTCTGGAAAGTGTGTGGGTTTTTTGTACAAGTACATGAAGTGAAGAAAAACTAGAGGCTCCAAGGAGCTGTATTGCTCAATTAGCATTTCTCCATAAAATGGATACAATGCAATTAGAATATTTCAGATGTTTCTAGTAAAAAAAAATGGGTAAATAATACCTATTTGGAGAAGACTGATGATTTCACACATGTTGACATATTTGTAGATCTGTGTTATTTTGCTGATCATTTTGGTATAATACTTACAATTTCTCTCTTCCTACTATGGTTTCAGGCAAAAGGCTCAAATATGAATCAAAATGTCATTCAAGGGCGTTTACTCATATTAGGACCAATGAATTTGGCCTTGATGACTTTTTGTAAATCTTGTCCAGCTGATCATTTAACTATTCATAGTTTCTATCTACTATAATTTCCTTAGGGAGTCAACAGAAAAAATTGACTTATAAGTAGATCTTCGTCTTGGTGACCATTTTTGCAGTTTCTCTCGATCAACTGTAGTTTGTAGAAAAAACAAAAAAAGGTAAAAATCCTCTTTTCAAAAAGTGCATGAACTTCTATTAGGAGTCTTAACTTCATATTTCATCCTGTTGATTTATTTGTAAATCTTGTCCAGGTCTAAATATTTTTTATTTTTGTATAATTCAAAGGAAGGAGACAGACAAAAATGATGAAAAAAGCTCATTTGACACTTGTGTCCAGATGAGCTAATTATGATGAATAAAGGTCCGGTATTCTGAATTGTAAAAGTATTCACCTTTTGTGCATGAAACAAATTCCCTTTCAAGAACCCTTTTAACTTTGAGTTATCTATTTTTCTTAAATTCTGCCTTTTAATATTTAATCAATATCATAAAAGGTGAGAATTCAAAAATATGAATTTGTGTATTTGAAAAGGATACGAATCTTCTCTGGAGCACCAGTATCAAGACAATCCCTTATCAGCTGAATCTCTTTATTCAAACCTGGTTGCTGGAACAAATCTTCCTGCAAAACAAGAATAATGTGGTAAAAATGTTGCCTCAGATTTCATATACTAACCTAGTTTGCAGAGTGGTCTAGAGTGATGGACACAGTAAAGGCAGAATTACCACAGAAGCATGGATTCAAATCCTGATAAAGAAAGGACAAACATTTGCAGATCTAAAGTTGTTGGTTTTATTTCAGACAAAGCTTATGTATCTGGCAAAACTGACCATCAACAAGTGATAATTTGACTTTCTATGTAAAATAGGCAAACCAATGATATATAATTATTGACATAGGATAAGGACTTTATATCAACTTACAAGATGAAAAAAGGCACTTTCTAATAGCATGAGATATATGATTATTCATAACAGTTGATGATACCTTTGTCCTAGTACTGTATATCAACTGTTCAACCTTATAGGCTTATACATGGATCTGGATTCTTTTAAAATACTTTTAAAATTAATGAAAAAATATTGAAAACATTTTTTTTATTTTGAGTTTGATGGACAAGACTTTTATCCAGAAAAAGAGGTAGAAGCAGTATACAGTTGAAGGACACTAAGAAAATCTGTGCATACCAAGTTCTACAGCTCATATTCAATACACACTGGTTTTCTTTAGATGATTAAAGTACAATATTGAAATTGCTAGGGTGCAAACAAACTTGTTTTTAAGGCATTCGGTATAAATTTTATCTGCATCATATTTCTTCTGATCTTATATATATTACTTTGTATTCAGACAGATAATTTTAGACCAGAAAAAGGAAATGGTTTCCTAATATATCAACTTTTTTTGCTGATCTTGCATACTTTTGTTTTCTATCACTTGCAGACAGAATCAATATTTGGCCATATCTATTCCATAAATCATTTAAAATGATGTGATAAATATGAATTATGTAACTTGTTCTTTTAATTTCATCTTTACAATCAGATTCTTCAGCCTGTATGTTGATTTATGATATCAATCAAATGTTTATGATCACTCTGCACATTCTATAAATCAGATGTATTCAGGTGTAATACCACCAAATCATAGTACGTCACATCCGGTTGCATACGAAAATAGGTCGAAAAAAAATATTCCCTTGAATTTGACAGTTGTAGGTAATTGATCCTACATTTCATTGCAGTAAAACATTTCTGAGTCATAAACATATATCTTGGGTATTTCAAAGCACCATTATTTCTTTATTTGGGGTTTCTATAGAATATTTTGGAAACTTGAGGTTACATGGTTACTAAAGCTTGTACACAGGTTAAAAAAGGGGGAAAATTTGATTGGTTAACTTCCAGTGATGGTTATTTTCTTATATGCAATGAAATGTTATGTGAATTTTTTTCTATAGTACTGGACAGGATAAATCTTTACTCATGCCAAGTATTTCTTTATTTGAAACAAAGATAAATTCTGCACAATTTTTTTAAAAGTGCAAATTTAACAAAGACTAATAGGGAAAATCAATGGTGGTATTACACCTAATATGGGAAGCTGTACATGCACCTTTGACCTTGTGAGTACTCTCATGTGTTAAAATGTCTTGCTATTTAAGTGAAATATTACAAATAATGAAATATTCTGAATGGATTGAGTCTCCAAAATACATTTTATGAGAAAATTTCCTTGAAATAGGACTTTACCATGAATATTAGTTGACAGAACAAGCCATACTTAGAGTTTTGGGGAGCTTTTTCTCCTTATTTCTTATATTCTGCTATACTAGAAAATTTTTCCTAAGAAATACTTTAATAAATATATAGTTTTAAGTAAATGAAATTATTTTTAAAGCAGTAACAACAAATTATTCACCAAAAAAGAAGTTTTTTATGTCCCTCTCTGGAACGCGGCGTAAATTTAAGTTTTACGTAAGGACTTATTGAAACCTCCTTGGAGACAGTAAACTTTTATACGGATAGTTCATTCAGCTTGAATACTTCAATTAATCATTTATAATAACATTTCTATCATAAATGAGTGAAAGTTACCCCAAAATTTTTATTTATTGGCCTAAAAAGTAGAAATTTTGAGGAAATGAGAGGTATAAATGGACCAAAAGAGACCTTATAAGGAAGACAAAGAGGTCCATTAGTAGTATTTATCATCCCAAAGTCATCTTTTGTGTCATATTCAACTGTTTGTAGGCAGATGAGATAAATATTTGATCATTTATTGGTCCACACTATATTCTATCATGATGCGGCTTGGTTTGGATTTTTCGAAGAAATTTTGCTCGAATCGCTGTAGATGTCATCTTACATTATACTAGATTTTTCTCAAACTATTGAACTGATTATGACAAAACTTGACAGGAATGCTTGAAATAACCAGTATTACAAAGGAAAAAAGTCAAATTCAGTTTATTTAACAAATAAGTCTTCTTCAGGTGTAATACCACCAAATCATAGTACGTCACATCTGGTTGCATACGAAAATAGGTCGAAAAAAAATATTCCCTTGAATTTGACAGTTGTAGGTAATTGATCCTACATTTCATTGCAGTAAAACATTTCTGAGTCATAAACATATATCTTGGGTATTTCAAAGCACCATTATTTCTTTATTTGGGGTTTCTATAGAATATTTTGGAAACTTGAGGTTACATGGTTACTAAAGCTTGTACACAGGTTAAAAAGGGGGAAAATTTGATTGGTTAACTTCCAGTGACGGTTATTTTCTTATATGCAATGAAATGTTATGTGAATTTTTTTCTATAGTACTGGACAGGATAAATCTTTACTCATGCCAAGTATTTCTTTATTTGAAACAAAGATAAATTCTGCACAATTTTTTGAAAAGTGCAAATTTAACAAAGACTAATAGGGAAAAATCAATGGTGGTATTACACCTTTACATAGTTTAATCTATCAAACTAAATATGAGATATGGTAGAAAAATGAAGAGCTGTTGAAAATCAATGTGACATATTATCACAAACATTAAATATGATCAGAAATTCTTAAGATGAAATATGAGAAATTTCTTTTGATATAAAACTAAAATAAATCTAAAGCAAAATGTTGTTATATCAAGAGAAATAGAAAAAAAACAGCTATGCCAAGAGTTTATGATACACCCTTTGTTATGCATATTGAAATATTTTAAAAATACAGTTTTCCAATGTCTCTTGTGTTGCACACTTTTTATATGTCCAAGGGCAATAAAAACAAATTCTTTGAACTTTTAATAAATATCTTACAAAAAATCAGACATTAGATCACTAACAATTTCATTTTCCATCTATTTCTATTTCCCAGGGGCATAACTCCTGTAAAATTAGTTGGTCAGGCACTCTTCCAAGACCTTGTGGGCCTTTCATACAAACTTCATAAAAATTCAACAAAAATGTAGGTGTGAGAGTGCTTTATACAATGCAATGTTCAATATAAATTACATTTCAAAGAGACATAACTCCTGTAAAATAATAGATCAGTGCTGATTTTGGAACTCACCAAGACATTGTTAATATAAACCCATAAAAATCCTACAAGAAATGAAGGTGGTGTGAGTGTTTACAATGCAGTTTACTATAAAATATACATTTCTAGGGAACTTAAGTATAGTAAAATATTTGATCAGTGCTTATTTAAACCTTCAATATAAATTCCATAACAATCCTTCAAGAAATGTTGGATTTAGAGTGCTTACAATGCAATTTTCCAAGTGGCACAAATCCTTTAAAAAGAGTTGTTATGTATTGATTTTCCACTATATTACTTATATAAACCTTTGATATAACTGTCATGAAAATCTGGTAAAAATTGTACATGTGAGAGTGCTTATGAGACCAGTTGGACAGACGCACGGATGTGTCGTGCGGGGGGACAAAAATAAGAATGAAGGCATGATAGTGCTAAGCATACCCCCACTCATAATTCTATTGGATTACAGGAAGTAGGTGTCTGACCTATCCAAAAAATGGTCACACTTTACAATTGGTCAATGGTAAGTCTTTCCGTTCTGTATTAAATTATTATATTTCTTTCTTTTGATTTACTTAATATCATTCAAGAAGACCTAATCAAAGTGAGAAGTATGACTCAATGCCACATAGTTTACCATTGACTTACCTCTGGAAAATTGTCTGTACCTTAGGAATATGATAGGTATTATCAATTCTATCTGCTGATTTTTTATATGCTTTCTTATTTTTGCTACTTAATTAAGACTTTTTAATAGAATTTCAGTTTTGTTTTTGTTAGCTAAAATCAATTTTAATAAAAATTATACATCTTGTTAGAAATTTGTATACCCCAAACTTTTAGTCATGTCAAGCAATCCAAGTCATTTTGCCCACAACTTGCATGAGACAGTTAACCTCAGGATGAGCTTAGATTTCAAAGTCTGATTTAAAGTCAATGATAAGTAAACAGATTACATAAACACAACCTCTAGTAGGCTAGATTTAATTTGAACAGTGAAATTGTTTAACTGCAGTAAAGTCAAAATCTTGTGTTTTGATTAGGTTTACTATCACAGTGAAAAGGTGAATGCAATATAGCCCTAACTTCTACAGTGTGGGTATGATGAAGATCAAGTACCTCAAATAATGTTGTTTTGAAACATTGAAATTTTATATTTTAGAGCAGAATAAAAACTGATTGCAAAAATCGTACTACTAATCCTCAAAGGCCTCTAAACTGACAATTAAATTTGAACAGAAATGATTTTATCATCTCCTCATTCAAAACTCAAAAACAAATTTGAAAATTTACAAGCATTAAATTGAATTAGAACAACAATTGAAACTCAGTAATTATCTGCTGCCTTTTTATCTTTAACATGAAAATTTTCTAAACAAAGAGAGACAAATCTTAGTTAATTTTAGTACTTACTCTGAATGTTGAGAATTCAATGCATATCACAAGATTTAATTTTAAAAAACTTTGCAGAAAAGATACTTATTTACAGTTGACAGTGAGTATCCCAAAAAATATCCATTAAATATTATTTTTTCAGTCCTCGACTGATCCAGGTCAATAAACATGAAGTAGTAAATGGAAAGAGTTCCAAATATGAATTTAAAATGTTATAGCATAGTGATCCTGAGAACAATTTTATTACATAAAAAATAAAAAGAAGAATGTGTCAATGGGACACAGATTCCCCGCTTGTAAATAAACTGCAAATTCAGCAATTTTTCCATTTATAAAGGGATATAACTCGAGAACAATGAAAGTCCACCCAAACTCAAATTTGATCTGTGTTCAGTGGTAATAAGCATTGTGTATAAGTTTCATAACATTTGGTTTAGGCAAAGTAAAGTTAGAGAGCAGAAACAGCAAAGTCAGCAATTTTTCCAATTATAAAGGAACATAACTCAAGAACGGAGAAAGTGATACCACCAAAATGAGAGCTTGATCTGTGTTGTGTGGTAATAAGCATTGTGTATAAGTTTCATAACATTTGGTTAAGGCAAAGTAAAGTAAGAGTGCGGGAAAGGCAAATTCAGCAATTTTTCAATTTAAAAAGGGACATAACTCAAGAGCCATGAAAGTGACCTCATCCAAATTCAAACTTGATCTGTGTTTGGTGGTAATAAGCATTGTGTATGAGTTTTATAATATTTGGTTCTGGTAAACTAAAGTTAGAGAAAGGGAACCAATTTCTGGAAGTACGGATGTACAGACAGACAAGAGTAAACCTTAATGCCTCCTATATTAGTACAAGGTTGGTTGTCTTCTGATACATCAGAATATATATGTATATATATGCAAGTTTTTTGGACAAACCTGATCACAGCCATACTGCCACAAGTGATCTACCAGTCTCCAGATCTCCTTAGGAATAGCATACAATCTCCCTCCCTGGTTTAGTACATCTCTTTTCACTAAACTACCTGGTTGTTCCTGTTACAAAACATATAAGTACTTTAATACACAGAGAAAATTAGTCTGTCATATTATCTTCTAAACATACTGTACTGGTAAGTTAGTAGATCACATACAGAAGAATTATCTGGATGCATTATTTCTATATTAGTTAACTAAGCACTAGCCTTTAAAAGTTTCTTACAAAATATTAATTCACATGCATTAAGCCATACCAGATGTGATAGTGAGAATTGCTATTCTCTCACTAGTATATTCCACATTCAATGTCTCCTTAAACTAGAGGTATTTTTTTCATTAAAAATAAACACACAATTAAATAAGCCATTAGTAAAACAGATGTTTCATCTTGAAAAGATACTCAACAGACTGTAGTAATATAAAATATAAACAGAAAGGATTTGCTATATTCAAAAAGTTACCCATCTATTCATTTCTCATAAAACTTACTATTTCTACAAGTTGAGCAGTAGGTATTTCTCTGACTGGACCATGCATCTGTATCAAAGCCTCCAGAGAACTTCCAAAACTACTAGCAATATAGTTACCACTGACAGATATGTAATGTAGGTTAAGGAGAAACTCATCTTCCAATAATTTTTTTACGTAATTCATTGCTAATAACTTATCAATATACTGTTACAAGCTTTTTTCTTCAAGCATATTTATTACAATTCAAATGTTATATATTAAGTCTTATTTTGTTGGTGGCAGTTACAGCAACCATAAATGTGTCAAACTTTGACTTCTCTCATATAAACACAACAACAAATTTACAAAATAGTAAAATTAATGGCCATTTAATCTGCTAGGCAGGCCTCAAAGTGTGAAAATTGTATGCACAAATAAGTTGGTTTATATTACTTTATTAGCTTGTGCTATTTGTCACATTCATTTTTTGCATGACTTTACATTTCCCAATCCAACCTCCATAAGCAATAATTCCAACAGTAATACACATTGACTCCAAAAGCTATAAATCTAACAGCAACAAACAATGTATATTTTTAGGTTGCTAGCAAAGGATATAAAGAAATCTTTTCCACCATTCAAATGTAGCACTAGTATATCCTCTAATTTATCTTCACCACTGTTCAATACAGCTGCACTTTTCTTGTCCACAAACACAGAAATGTTTATTTCACAATTTTTTCCTGCAAAACAAATGCATTTGTTTTAACATTTCAAGAGTGAGATTCAAATTAATTTTCAAACCTAACAGTATTCACTCTAAGTTGCGCAATGAAATATGAAAGTAAAATAGATTTTTAAAAGAAGCCTTTTCTATAAAGTTTTTATGTGCAGCTTTGTTTCTTAAATCAAAGCACTGTAAGCGCTGTAGGCAGTTAACCAAAAACCAAGGCAAACGTAATTATGAAAACTGTGGGAGTCTTGCTTCAATTTTTTTTTAAGATTTGAAAAAAGAAACATTAAACATTTGTATATTGTACATTGTTTATTTAATGAAATGTTTACTAAGGCAAATTAATTAATATTTTATCAAGGTTTTCAAAAGCAACGCATATATATATCATTCAGTATTAGTGGTAAAAGTTGACGAAGAATGAGTTTGTAATAGTTTGAACGGATTTGCTTCCCTGGAAGGAACACCGAATTTGGGTTCTTCAGTGCAAAAATTATGAAAAACAAATCAGACAAATGTTTACTACTACAGGGATCAAAGGTGAGGTCTGACTGACCTGCCCATAGTAAATGTAAATTACCCCCACCTTCACCCCAAGTCCATGATGTCACTCCATACCAAGTTTGGAATAAAATGACAGGTGATTATAAAACAGTTGGTCTAACATTCTTGGGCTTTACACTTCTTGAAAGATTCATATGTTTTCTTTAAAAATGAGCCATAAATGAAATAATTCAAAAAATATTTTAAGTAAATCCAATCAACCTAGACTCATTTTTAGCATCAATAAAATTTTATAATGAACAAGAAATAATAGTAACAGGATGCTGTGATGAAGTTTCCCTAACAAAGCTTCCATAATTCGTCATTCCCATGGTCGCCTGGCATTGGACAGTTCACATTGGTTTGGTCTAGTAAAGTGAAATGCATATGTAATGCCTAGGAGATTGACCCTGTGTGTTATTCAAATCTTTTTGAAATGACGAACAGGAATAAATAGGGTTTAGGAGTGGGCATCTCGACCGTTTACAAGTTCTCAAACAGGAGGGGGTGTGGTGACCCCCAGGGATTCCCCCCTTTATTTCCTTTCATTTGTTATACTGTTCCATACATGAATATATATAGTTTAGGGGTGGGGATCTTAACCGTCCTGTTTGTCATTCAAATCTTTTAGAAATGACGAACAGGAATAAATAGGGTTTAGGAGTGGGTATCTCGACCGTTTACAAGTTCCCAAACAGGAGGGGATGTGGTGACCCCCAGGGACTCCCCCTATATTTCATTTGATTTGTTATATTGTCCCATACATGAATATATATGGTTTAGGAGTGGGGATCTTAACCGTTTCCAAAGTTCTCAAACAGGAGGGGTGGAGTGACTCACGGGACTCCCCCTATATTTCATTTGATTTGTTATACTGTCTCTTCCATGAATATATATGGTTTAGGGGTAGGGATCTCGACTGTTTACAAGTTATCAAACAGAAGGGGGTGGGGTGACAACGGGTACTCCCCCAAATTATTTTCATTTTGATTGTTTTATTATCCCATACAAGAATATATATGGTTTAGCTATAGGGATGGGAATCACAATTCACCCTATATTTTATTTGATTTATTTTATTGTCCTGTTCTCATTAATGAAGACCGTGTGTGTCTATCACTTACTGTTTTCGAATAATAGTCATTTGAAAATTAAAAAAAAATCCCATATGGTTCTACAGTAAACCCCATCCCTTCTTTAGACCCCTCAAAATACCCCTAAATAAGGCACAAACGAAAATTGATGGCTTACATTTTATGAAACCTAAGTAAATCTGACAAGCGGTCCGAGTTGTCTTGTTAGATGGGCCGAGTAGACTCTGTCCGACTTGTCTCCGGGACGAGTTGTTCCGCATTTCTTAAAACATCGACCAGTACGTCAATTTCCGTAAAAATAACATCAGAATCAAACGAACTTACGTTTCGTGTACGACTAATACCTGCAAACTTTCACGATTTAGGCGTGAACTACATGATATTGATCCGCTGTCCTGATTTCACGATCGTGTTCGTGAAAATAGATAGCCCCAAAACACGATACTTTGAAAATTACACGCAAAATATTTTTGTTTTCCCAAGGGAGGCAACTCGTGTTTAACAAATTTAATCCAATCAAAAGTCAGTGGTTACGCATTCACCAGTTGATTAATGGTACTATAGTAAACAATCAAAGAATAGAAGTTTGTTAAGTATTTAGAGTTGTTTTTTTTTGGGCTTGAGTGTTAGAATTATTAAAATCGGAATTACTAATGACGAGCTATCACTTGCAAAACTTGTTATATTGGTATATATGTAACGGAAACCAGTCTAGTAGTGCATTCTCCGAGAGTGCATTACTTGACAAGGTCATTTATGTAAAAAACGGAGTAATATAAAAGAATGAAATTCAAATGTGATTACACAATTTATTAACACTCATCTCAAACAAAAAGAATTTCATGATTAACAATAATTACCTTTCTATCATCAGAATCCTCAAAATTTAAAAGTTACGTTAATTTCGTCTTCTAATTTGAAATTGCCGCCAACTTATTAATAGACTACTGACGTATTTAATACGTATCGACGACAAACAATATCCCTACGACTTTTGCCATTTGGGAAATGTAAACGACTTGTCTTTAGAGATTTTCGGCGATTAAATATTTCATACAATTGTTCTTTGACATCTTAGCCAAAAGTACAGTGGAAAATAAACTACATAAGGATTTCTATTGAGCACTACTTCCTATGTGCAACTTAAAAAATTTTGGGTTGTTCGACGATCATTTAAGGTTTTTCTGGTCATATTTTTTGTATTCCAGAATTGATAGTATGAAAAAAGTGCCCAATTAGTTATTAATAACATACTAAGCCAGATAGATAATAACAACAGCACTTTTTCACTATTCAGTGGGAAGAACACAAATCTAGGGTGCTAGCATATGGCAGCTTAACTGCCAAAAAACATTTGTTAAATAAGGCAGCTTATATTAAGTTTTTATTGTATATTAGTAGGTATTACAAATAATAAACTATTTTAATATGTTCACCAATTTTGTGATTACAACTGGTCAGTTAATATAATTTTGATAACAACTGGTCAATTAATATAATTTTGATTACAACTGGTCAGTTAATATAATTTTGTTAACAACTGGTCAATTAATATAATTTTGATTACAACTGGTCAGTTAATATAGTTTTGATTACAACTAGTCAGTTAATATCATTCTATTTATAACTGGTCAGTTTATATCATTCTGATTACAGCTGGTCTGTGAATGTAATTTTGATTAAAACTGGTCAGTTAATATAATTTTGATAGCAACTGGTCAGTTAATATCATTCTGATTACAACTGGTCAGTGAATATAGATTTGATTAAAACTGGTCAGTTAATATAATTTTGATAACAACTGGTCAGTGAATATAATTTTGATAACAACTGGTCAGTTTATTTTATATTTTATCAACAGCTGTTTAGCTCAAGTAAAAAAGTCTGATTCATGTATTGTTATATTGGAATGATTCATGTACCGTTACCTTGGAACGATTCATGTACAGTTACCTTGGAATTATTCATGTACCATTACCTTGGAATGATTCAAGTTCCATTTATGAATGACTGATGCGACTTATGGGTTTAACACAGAGAACTTGTTTTCTGAGGATTTTGACTAAATGTTATGCATGTAAGACTGTTTTCTGAAGCACATACATTTATTGTACATATTTTGAAACAGGTTTTTCTTTGATTTAACATTTTTGATTGAATATCTCCAAAATTTTAGTCATTGGGTTTTTTTTAAATTTCAGATGATACATGTATATGCATGTGAAAAGAGTAACCTTACAATATAAGATTATGAGCTGTATTCACCTGGAGTTATCACAGCTTTAGATGGAGATGCCATCATCCATGGTTTACAATAACTAGGTTCATCAAGCTTCTGTATAAATTCAAAATTTACAGGAACCTACAAAATAAACATAATACTGCTGTATAAATTGTACTTAAAATTCGTAAAGGTTTCAATAGAACTCTGTGTTTCACCTACTATTGCTGCTATCAGAGTAAAAGTGTAATGTTGACTGCCAAAAACTAATTCCATTTATCAGTAAAATACCGAAAAAGTATAAAAAATTTGAATATTTTTCTTCAGATGCTTTTCTTTATCTTAAAGGCTTCTCTCAGAGTTTCTTAACAGTTCATTAAGATTTGACAAAGTAATTGATGTCTTAAAAAATTTAATCCAAGACTGTATGTAAATGTTATCTGCAAAAAACTAAGTCCATTTATCACTAAAATTCTGAAAAATAAAAAAAATTATCTAAAACTTTGTTTTTGAAACAGTATTTTGATCATTAAAAAATTTCCGATAAAAGAGTTTCATAAAATTCCATGATGGTTAGACAAAGAAAGATGTTCATCTTTACCAAAACTTTAACCCTAGACAACCAAAATAATGAAGCCTCAGACAAATGGAATGTAGGATCTCTATGTCTTGCTTCCATAATAAAATGTTGCAGACTCAACAAAAATGTGTATCATAAAGAGATTATTTAATATTTTACTATAAAAGTATTTAATAATGTTTTAATCTTTCTGTGTAGATGTCATAATTTCGATGGTTATTAGTTTGATATGTGATTTAATTGAGGGAATGTCAACAAAAGACAAATAATATAACTGTTTTCTAATCACTTAATTGAAATCCCCAAATGTAATACTAGCTCTTACTGAAAAATCTTAGATGGATCTCCTGTTTATGGATTCCTTAATAAAATACCCCCTCCCTTTACCCCTAAACCATAAACTCCAAAAAACAGCACCAGTAATAGTTAATATGGATAAAAGAGCAATTTCATTAAAATATATCAATATATGTATTTTCTAATACACAAATTCCAAATTTACACATTTTCATACTTGACACAATTATCATTGTGGAATAGAAAAAGAGACACTAGTTTAAAAGTTATTTATCTTCCATCTTTAAGTTTGCTATATAAATTCACATGTAATGTAACATTTGCATTGGATTTCTGTATCAACAGACAAGGCGAAACAAGATTATAACTAACCTGACCAGAATTTGTTATTGTTAATATGTCTTCTTTGGTCTCTATAAATTTGACATCATTTAATATAATCTGAAATGAAAAATAACAGCATAAGGGCATGTTAATTCAATGCAAACAAATTACGAATTTTTAAATTTTCTTTATATGATCCATTGCTATACATGCTAAAACTGTCTTCAACTATTTGTTGTGACTGCTCAGCAGATCTGAAAATATCTTGCATGGTACAATAGTTTCAGATCAATAATCAAATCCTTCTGGAATACTGAACCTAAAAAATTTACTTAAGACTTACATAGTGCCTATAAGAGTGATGTTGACAAACATATAGTATATATGTAAGAGTTATTTCATTCCACCATGTGTTTATTGCGGCCAACAATTATTTACTAGAGACTTTTGTATGTAAATAGTGTGATGTTTATTTTTATGGTAGACTGGTATTGTTTTACATAAATCAATGGGTTAAAATGAGAATAATTTTCAGGGTACCAGTTTAATTCATCTGAATCAATCCAGCATTTTTGTTTGTGGATATAAAACACTAGGAATTTTCATTCCTCTAATAAAGTACACTGGCAGAATCAAACATTCCTTGGATAAAAAAAACAATAGTTTTTGGGTCGATTTTTTACATAATTACACCTTATATAAGAAAGCCAGATTTTGATTGGTTGATAGCCAGTGTATTTTTCGCAGATTCTAATATTTTTTCCTCAATTCAAACAAATTTGCCTGTTTTTCACCTCTACCGGTGATTTGCCTCAAATACCATGGTATTTGCCATTTTGGATATTCCTTTTTTACCCTCTCGAGCATTTTCCCGCCAAAATTTTTCGGATATGACGTTACATAAAAAAGCGAGCTAACGCGTATAAGTACATGTATAATTCCCGCGGTTCTATGATAATATCCTCTTATCCTCAAAATTATGCATAAATATGTTAATGAATAAGTTTCAATCCAAATCTATTCAGTGTAATTAAGCAGATATATCATGTTATGGAGGGGTATTTGCGAAAAATACCAGTCTTGGGACCGAATTTAACAGTCCCTTGACTGGTATTTTTCGCAAATACCCCTCCATTAACATGATATATCTGTTCATAAATCACCTATGCAAGTTTTAGTTACTTCAAATACCCCAAAAAAACCAAGCCCCATTTTTTATATATTTCCCCTTCAAGAAAACCCTCTTCAGAATCTTATGGCGAGTGTTGGATATTTTACACTAGACCTGGATTAAAAAAGCTAGTGCATTTTTGTTGGTGGATATAAAAAACTAGGAATTTTCATCCTTTGGATAAAGTACACTGGCGGAATCAAACCACTGTTACATATACCCCTCACAGCTTGGTTGCAAGGGATAATATGCAGCCCTTTTATATAAGCAAAGAGTATTTTGAAATATATTTCCTAACTTTAAGATATATCTCTAGTTATAATAAACTGTGAGAGAATTCACAAAAGGATACCCTACCCCAAAATTCAATCTTGTCCTGCTGATCAATTTTGCTTTTTATAGCAAATGTAGGATGTATTACCTCTGTTTTATCCAGTTTAACTTGAGGCAGATAATCATTATAGCGAATGCAGGATGTATTACCTCTGTTTTATCCAGTTTAACTTGAGGCAGATAATCATTATAGCGAATGCAGGATGTATTACCTCTGTTTTATCCAGTTTAACTTGAGGCAGATAATCATTATAGCGAATGCAGGATGTATTACCTCTGTTTTATCCAGTTTAACTTGAGGCAGATAATCATTAGGCCGCAATTAAAAATATCTTTGTTTCCCCTTACCCTACCCACCATTTTGGAAGTGGGTAGGTAGGTAGGCTTTTTTTTTTTTTTTTTTAGAGAAAATCCCTTAAATATATCTAACATACAGGAAAACACAGAAAAACAACAAATTGAACTTTATTGATACCAAAACAACATACTGTATAACGTATAATGCATGACTAGAAGACCTTACAATTTCAGACTAGAAAATGTTTGTAAATATCAATGCCTTTGTGACTTAGAGTAGACCACATATAAATTGAGACACGGTTCTATATCTTTCTTATAGTTTTATTAATTCAATTGAAAATATAAAACCCCGAGACTGCTACCTAGTAACATTCGATGCAAAAAATATGTACACTTGTTTTTCATTTAAGGAAATACTAGAAGCCACAAACCGTGATCCAAGCGAGTATGACTACGCCTATTAAGGCTTATTCTAGAAAACTATGAATTTATTTTTAACAATAAACTTTACCATGAAACCTTGGGCGTGCCTATGTGCGGATCAGCATTCGCTGAGTTAGCAGACCTTACAATGTTTGTTAATTCTTGAACACATTTTACAATGCTTTCAACACAGAGAAACAAAATGATAATGATAGTTGAAGTTCACCTACGAATTATCCTGTAATGAAACAATATTCTTAGACACTGTCATAATTATACAAAGGAGAAAGATTCTTTAATGAAGGCATAGTATGATACAAGACATTAAAACCAATATCAAACCAACTGAAACATATCAATATCTGCACAGACACTGCTCACACCCAAAAAGTGTTTTCATTGAAAGGATTTATCAAGGGTGAAGTATTGAGGTATCTCAGAAACACAAGCAGCAAAACTGATCTTAAAAAAACAGTAAGAAGCTAAAACGAGGATATCAAATATCTGAAATCAACGATTTTTTTTATCAAACACAAAATACAGAAAGGGAAACCTTGCTAACACATCGCCCAGCGAAACGGGAGCAACCGCTAGTAATGTTAACAAAATTCAACCCATCTATACAGAAACTAAAAATATAATAATGAAAAACTGGCATCTTATTTCACAAAACCCTGAATGTGTGACCATATTTAATCATCAGCCCATTATAGCTTATAAAAGACATAAGAACTTACAAGAACTTTTATCAAAGCATTAGCTGGTATAGTCATCTCGACTTTTCACAACACAATATGATGCTGAGCTCGAAAAAAATCAACTACTATTTTATCCAAAGACAACTAGTGTATGGTCCAATATCACATACGAAATGAAACAAAATAGCATAAATAGCACGCCAATATACAACTTATTGAGTCAACCACTGATAAAGGCGAACTCAGGGATTAACCACAAACACGACAGAAACACCGGGCCTAACATTTAAGCTCAAGGGTGAGCTTTGATGCGCAATCGTAACTACTCGACCATTCTCGCTACGCATTTTGTTATTGGAGGCGTAGCTAGAATGGAATAGTAGTTAAGATTGCTTGGATGCATTTATTTAAAACATTATTCCATTCCAATTTCAGTATCCTTGCATACGTTGTTTACCCTTTGCTGCAAACACACGGGCGACAATGATTTCGCGGAATGTTGAAAATACGGACCATTCAAGGAAACGAAATTAAAAAACGAACTTTTGAGCGAAACGAAAAAAAAAAAAAAACAACGTGATTTTCGAAAAAAATTATTTCAGTCGGCGGATTTTTAGAGGGTCGGTCGGGTAAGGGGAAACAAACTTAATTTTAATTTTGGCCTTATAGCTAATGCAGGATGTATTACCTCTGTTTTATCCAGTTTAACTTGAGGCAGATAATCATTATAGCGAATGCAGGATGTATTACCTCTGTTTTATCCAGTTTAACTTGAGGCAGATAATCATTATAGCTAATGCAGGATGTATTACCTCTGTTTTATCCAGTTTAACTTGAGGCAGATAATCATTCTCCAGTCTGTCTAATTGTTTCATTATATCTTCGTATACTTTCCTAGATTTCTCTTTGTCTACCACTCTCACCTATAATAGATAGAATTCTTGATCAAATATATTTTCTTTTTCCCAATTTGATAAGAGAAAAAATCTGGAAATTGTATTCATCTCATTCCGATTAAAAAGTTTTCTTTAAAATTCAGACTGATAAAGAATTTTTATCTCTAATCTTTGTGCATTTAAATCATTCTGAACAATTAGATAAAATCTTTATCAACCACACAATCATTACATTGTTCCAAGTGATATCCACCAAATCCATTCAAAATAGTGTACCTTGCATTTAGTCATTAAAGAAATAGATTTGAAACTTTACCCCATTTATTATTTATTATTTAATGATAATTATTGACTAACACTTTTAGTTTTTTTCAAATTCTATAATGCCTTACAACTCTCTTCAGTGGATTAATATAATAATCAATCCGGTTCTATGGTAGAATCTATATTTCTCTGATTCTACATGCACTCAAACATCTTCTGACCAGTATGATAAATCCAGTTTTTTCATTAATCTTTTGTAAATTTCCAAAAGGATCCATTCAGAACATTACACTCAGCCTTTTCAATAAATTCATAAGGAAAACAGATTCTACCACTTTACCTGCTTGACAAAATTAGTTATTCTTTCTACATAGTTAAGTTTCTAAAATATTCAAATGCTAGGTTAACCTTAAAATTTTTTTTTAACTAACTATCTAGAATGGATAAATATTGTAATCAAACAGGTGGTGGAGTAGAATCTATATTTATCTTATTCTGATAAAGTTCTGCGTATTTTATTTTTATCACCATTCTAATAATGTTCTGCATATTTTATTTTTAACATCATGCTGATAAAGTTCTGCGTATTTAATTTTAACATCATTCCGATAAAGTTCTGCGTATTTTATTTGAACATCATTCTGATAAAGTTCTGCATATTTTATTTTAACATCATTCTGATAAAGTTCTGCATATTTTATTTTAACATCATTCTGATAAAGTTCTGTGAATGCATCCTCTCATATTCTATCAAAATACTAGATTTATATATTAGTTGTAATTGGCTTTAAGATAGCTTTCTCTTATTTTGTTGCTATGTGTCTATTGTTTGAGTTGTTTTTGTTCCTTGTACCGATCTTTTGAGTTAATTGCAACTGATTTTTACAGTTTGTTCTCATGTTGTTCCGATACATCACTGTCCCAGGTAAGGGGGAGGGTTGAATGCTCCCAAACCTGTTTAACCCCACCACATTCTTTATGTGCTGCCCCAAGTCAGGAGCCTGTAGTTCAGTGGTTGTTGTTGGCTCATGTCCGTCATATTTGTTTTTCTTAAATTGCTATTATAAATTAGGCCTTTAGTTTTTTTATTTGAATTGTTTCTCATTTTTCATGTCTGGTCCTTTTGTAGTCGACTATATGGTATGGATTTTTCTCATTGTTGAAGGCTGTAAGGTGGCCTTTAATTGTTTACATTCCCATCATTTCAACTCTGGTGGATAGTTGTCTCATTGGCAATCATAACACATCTCTTTATTTTTATATAGATGTTTGTTTTCTCATTTTGAAAAAAAAAAAAAAACTATTAACACAGTTATATGTTTCGTCTGTGTGGAAGTTTTATAGAAAATGCAACTGTTGAATATTAAATGGCAACACTGTATGAAAGTATGACTGTATTCTTCATCATATTTAATATATTAGTAAATCAATTGACCTAATCACAAACTTTAACATGTAAACTATGCAACAGTTTCAAAGTCAATGGACAAGAACGTGGGGCATAATAATCGCCATGAAAATGAGACGTGCACATTCTAAAACAACTGAATACCTATCACCTTGAGTGATTCGTCTTAAATATACCTCATCACAAACTTAACAATGTTGACTATTTTTGCAGGTGATATGATTACTAGTAGTATTTTAAATTACATTCAGAAACTTGATCTCTCAGAAAATTATATAAAACTTCAACTTACAATTTAACTCATTTTCTAACCTATAACAGAAACTGTTTCCATGAATTGTTTGCATGAATTGTTTCCATGAATTGTTTGCATGAATTGTTTCCATGAATTGTTTGCATGAATTGTTTCCATGAATTGTTTGTAATTGAAAGTTAACAAATAGAATATGCAATACAATATATCCATCTGAGACAGGTAATACAGTGCAATAATGATAAACAATATGTTATCTTTATGCATTATCTTAATTTGATTTGTTTATTCATACAAGAGGCTCCCTAAGCAGTCTCATGATATCACTGACATCATACTATGCTTTGAAAATATTTCAGTGTAAGGTGCACAAAGGACAATTCAGAACAATTCTGGTTCCTATTTGAACAAGGAGATTAAGTAAATGCCAACTCATTTCTCCCAAAATTAACCCTTTTATTGCATTAAGGATCTAGAGATTAAGCCACTGTTCCAGTACATGAAAGCTTCTACTTTATTTTTGTGGGTTAACAATAATAAGTAAAACCCACCTCAACATCAAATAGATCTGAGACAGGTTTGTGGTCACTGATCTTTAGTTCAGGATGGTAGCGATACTTCAGACTGGTTATACCACCTCCTTTATACAGGATTCTATCACACCAGGCAGGAGGACGACTTTTCTCACTGAAAAATGGTAAAAAAAAAATGTTTAAATTATTCAAATATCAATGAACTGCTGTAATTCCAGATCAAGAAGTTTAGAATCAATTACTGTAAATTCAGAAATTTCTGATGACCTTTATTGAGATTGGGTTTTTTTCTTCAAATTTCACAATAATAAATCAAGGAAAAAAATCACGGAGTTAAACTGATGTAAATAATTAATACTTCCTTCTCACTTCTGTTCATATTTATAAACAGGCAACAGGACTTCTAAAACAAGTTCTGTCTATTGACATAATATCAAAAGCCTCTGACTTGTAAGTAGCAGATACAGGTGGGAGTGGGCATAGATGGAGTACACCCCCCCCCCCCCCTCCCCTCTTTGATCAGAAAAAAATCTTTTTTTGGCATAAAATAGTCAAAAAAAACTTTCACCTCGTTAAGCTCTGCACTATTTTCACCTTTACAAACAATTAAGCCTCCCTGGATTTACTCCTAGTTCTAGTTGTTTGTATTTGAACTATTACTCAATACTTGACCGAGATCAATAATGTATAAAATGTATGTCAGGAGGATATTGTTTCCATTTAAATCTTCATAGCTAGAAATAACTGGCTTTGATGAAATCTGGAAGTTAATAAACTGTACTAGACAAAAACTGTTTGATTAATAGTATGACATAAAGCCATACAGAGCTACCATACAGAGCGACTGTGGTACCATATTACATCCCAACTGAGATGGACATACACAAAACCTGAATCTAAATTTAAAAACATGTTATACCAAGAAAATGACACCGTGGATATATGTTTCTATGGTATTATGTAATTAATCACTAAATACAGAAATAAATACACTGTACTTCCAATTACATCATACATATTTAAATTATTCTTTTTTATGTTTTTTTTATATACAACTTTCTATAAATCTTTTAATACTGCAGAGAATAGCATTGCAAAAAAAAACATAATAAATAATACATATAAGCTGTAAGCATGAACTAACCTTAAGTACTGGTATTCAGTATGGCTGTGTTATAAATTTATTGTTTCATTGTTCTTATCATGAAAACATATATATTTATAAACAATACTTCCTTGTCTACTTAAATAAATGTAAATCACAGGAAATCATCAAAACTTTCAATTTTTAAAAATCTCTTACAAATATTTGAGGTAAACCATTTAGAGATATGTAGATTTAGAATCTTTCAAAAACTTAGTCAGGCAATACCTTATATTAATTCATACTTTTCACTAATGATAATAATAAACTGTTGACACACAGATATGTCTGGCTTTTTGTAATTTTGATAGAAAAGTTGCAATATTTGAATCTGTAAACTATGCAAAACATTCAAAGTCAATGAACCATGACTGAAGGTGCACCAGGGCCAAATAACATCTATGGAAATGAGAAATGCCAATGCTTATGAAACTGCATTCCAAATACCATTAACTTACCATAAGTGATTCCCTTCAAACTAAATTAAACACAAACTTTAACTTGTAAACTATGCAAATAATACTCCATGGAAATGAGATGTGCCAATGCTAATACAACTGCATACTATATATCAATGATCTATCACTAGTGGTTCCCAATAAACTGACCTCATAACAAACTAATACATTGATGACATCTTCGTCGCTGACAGAACTGGAAACAGCACACCTATTCTTATTCCTATTATTTATTTGGAAACACATACCTTTAACTATCATTTCTTCTCTTTAAGTATTTTTAGAAATGCACTAGAATCAATGACTTATTCATGAATCATAGGATTTCAATTCAAACAAGAGAAATATCTTTGGCTCAGGTGTTATAAATTCAGGGAAAGATAATCAAACTCTCAAACTGGACTTATATATCATGAAAAAAGAAAGAATCAGCACTCTCCTGTTCCATTTTATTTCAAGAAAAGGATTCAATAAGATAATCTCTATCATTTGTTATACCATTGTCTGCTGTTGTTTTACTGACTAGCAATTTCAAACATTATGATCAAATGTTTAATGTTATGTCTTGATTGGTTAACCTTTGGCAATAATCATCCTTTTAGAAGCAACATCTGTCATTGAAAATGCCATCTTACACATGTAATGAGTATACAAAAAAGTGCATCAAGGATATAATTAAAAGCAATTTAATGACTAGTGACCAAGAAATCACCCATATGTCAACATCTATACCTTTATGAAAATTATCTTTATTTACACAAGAATTTTATTCAATGTTAAACAATTATAACTAGTGGGAACCTGGTTTAATGGTTTAACTTTGAAGTAACTTTGAATTAACTTTCATCTATAAAACTAGCTCCCTTAACAGCCCTTAGTAATAAATTCTATGCTGCACTAGTGTGTTTTGTCAGGACAATTAATATCATACATGGTTTAGGGGTTGAGAATTGAACTATTTTCATTTTATCTAACAAGATGTGATAAGGAAGGGTCATGGAACAATACCTATGGTAAACAAGATCTTTTACTGATAAGGCATAATGGAATATTTATGGTTTAGTGGTGTTAATGTGATATCTAATAATTTATTAAATGTTGGGTATGAGTCCAACCGACAAAGCCTAAGGGCACTAGAAAGGTTTTGAATGACGAAAAGAAAAAAATATGGTCTTGGTATAGACAAAAAAATCAATCATTTGATCTTGAAGTCAAAGGTCAAGGTCAGAAGTCATCTGCAAAGTCATATGCAACACGTAATCTTGAGGTAATGCACATAATGCCAAACATCAAAGCATGCATCAAAAGGATTTAACAACAAGTTATGAACTGGACAAGAAAATGTAAAAAACTAGAGGCTCTCAAGAGCCTGTGTCGCTCACCTGTATTTACTGATGCTTTGGAAATCATGTAAAATAATGTTAAAATCATAATTAATAGTATCAGATATTAGATATTATAATGATATCTAAGATAATAACAAACTAGAGGCTCTCAAGAGCCTGTGTCGCTCACCTGTATTTACTGATGCTTTGGAAATCATGTAAAATAAGGTTAAAATCATAATTAATAGTATTAGATATTAGATATTATAATGATATCTAAGATAATAACAAATAACCTGCTTCGCTGAGCGCAGCTAGATACGCCCGCAGAGGTCCAACCCTGAACAGTTAGGGCAAAAATGGACACAATATTCAAGCTTGATTCAGGTCTGAATTTGGTTTGTAATTAAATATTTGACATATTATAGGTTTCTGAATAAATGTAGTCAAAGATCTTGAAATTGGTTATATGAATTGAATTTATATTCAATTAAAGATTTCTTGCTGTAGTGCAATACTAAGAAAATCTGTTGTCAGACTATAAACAAATAAAGTTCAATTAATTCTCAATGTCATATTAGAAATTTATGAAAATACAAAGGGAGCTTACATCAATAGATACAAACAATTCACCAAAGTTTCATGAGAATTGGTGACAGCATTTTTTTGAGTTATTGTCCGAAAACTGGAAAATCACCCCTTTTTTTAATGAATAAAACCCCATAACTCAGAAATGTAAAATGTAAAATTTATAAAATTCTAAAGGGAGCTTACATCAATACATACAAACAATTCACCAAAGTTTCATAAGAATTGCTGTAAGCATTTTTGAGTTTTTGTCCGAAAACTGGAAAATCCCCCCTTTTTTTATGAATAAAACCCTGTAACTCGGAAACGTAAAATCTAAAATTTATAAAAATCGAAAGGGAGCTCATGTCAATAGATATAAACAATTCACCACAATTTCTTGCAAGTTGGTGAAAGCGTTCTTGACTTATTGTCCGAAAACTTGAAAATCCCCCTTTTTTTAATGAATAAAACCTCATAACTCAGAAACGTAAAATCTAAATTTTATAAAAAATGAAAGGGAGCTCACATCAATAGATATAAACAATTCACCAAAGTTTTATGCAAATTGGTTTAAGCATTTTTGAGTTAATGTCCGACATGTTGACGACGGACAGACGGACAGACAGACGGACTGACGGACAGACGGACGGACGGACAGACGGACAACGGTATACCATAATACGTCCCGTAAACGGGCGTATAAAAACTGCAAAGTTTTTGTAAAATTACTAACTCAGGGGCAGATTATTAAGGGCAATAACTCTTCGGGTCAGGTGAGCTAAAAACTGCAAAATTTCTGTAAAATTACTAACTCAGGGCAGCAACCCAACAACGGGTTGTCAGATTCATCTGAAAATTTCAGGGCAGATAAATCTAAATCTGATGAACATTTTTGCCACCTGTCAGATTTGCTCTAAATGCTTTAGTTTCAGAGATATAAACCAAAAACTGCATTTTACCCCTATGTTCTATTTTTAACCAAGTCAGCCATGATGGTTGGAAGGGGGGGGTCATCGGACAAATTTTTTAAACAAGATACCCTAATAATGATTATGGCCAAGTATGGTTAAATTTGTCTCAGTAGTTTCAGAGAAGAAGATTTTTGTAAAAGATTACTAAAATTTACGAAAAATTGTTAAAAATTGACTATAGGCAATAACTCCTAAAGGGGTACTTATTTGTAGATCTTACTTTGCTGAACATTATTGCTGTTTACAGTTTATCTCTATCTATAATAATATTCAAGATAATAACCAAAAACTGCAAAATTTCCTTAAAATTACCAATTCAGGGGCAGAAACCCAACAACAGGTTGTCAGATTTGTCTGAAAATTTCAGGGCAGATAGATCTTGACCTGATAATCAGTTTTATCCAATGTCAGATTTACTCTAAATGCTTTGGCTTCAGAGATATAAGCCAAAATCTACATTTTACCCCTATGATCTATTTTTAGTCATGGCCGCCATCTTGGTTGGTTGGCGGGGTCATCGGACACATTTTTTAAACTAGATACCCTAATGATGATTGTGGCCAAGTTTGGTTAAATTTGGCCCAGTGGTTTCAGAGGAGAAGATTTTTGTAAAAAGCTAACGACGACAGACGATGGACGCCAAGTGATGAGAAAAGCTCACTTGGCCCTTCGGGTCAGGTGAACTA